TCAATAAAGTGGCTAAACCTTCACGAAGAGAGAGAGAGAGATTGTTATATAAAATATAAATTAAATGAATTAAATTCTCACTCAATATTTGCCATCTTCTCCAAGATTTCAATCTTTAAATCAATCGGAAAATCAACTAAAAATAAAAACATTTTATAAATTTCCGTTTTATGAAAACATAATTTCTTAAATAATAAATAATAATCAAAACAAATACTTCTATCAATATATGGATGTAATTGTTTGAGAATGTCTTGAAGTGCGAGTCCTTTCTCTCTCTTCATTTCGAGCATATCTGAGAAAAACAAAGCAATTAATGAGATATAAAATCAAAGTCCACACAAACTGCGAGAACACATACTCTCGTAAATAGTGGTAAACTTCTGGTTGAGAAGCCAACCGAGGATCTGCTCGATGTCTTCCTTCAGCGGTCGACCGCAGCAGAGGTAGACATTGCGTTCGTCGACCACAGGGAAGGCGGCAGAAGTGGCCTGTAATACGTTCAACACTTTACGCATATCGCCGTCAGACAAGTCGATCAACGCCTTAATGCCCTCATCGGTCGCGTTAATGCGCTCTTCGGTGGCGATAAACTTCACGCGCGGTATTATCTGCGCCGCGCTTAACGGCCCGAACCTGAATCGCGTGCACCGCGACTGTAGGGCCGGTATTATCTTCGAGAGATAATTACAGATCAGACAAAACCTGGTGTTCACCGAAAACTTCTCGATTACTAGATATTAAGGCAAACAATACATTAATTATGAGTTCAATTGGCGGACAAATTGTGAGGGAAAGGGGAGGAATAGGTATGAGTAGTAGTAGTAGTAATGGTGTACTTCTTCGGAGTGCATTCTGGGCGTCGTTAGTCATGGCATCGCATTCGTCTAAAATGATTAGTTTGAAGCCAGACTTGAATACGGCTTTAGTGGACGCGAAGTTCAGTATCGGTCCCCTCACGACACCGATGCCCCTCTCGTCCGACGCGTTCAACTGATCCGCACGTGTGGAGACAAAACACCAGATTAACACATCATATCCGCGAAGACCAACACAACAACAGCAAACACTAACCTCGAGAACCATTGACGACATTTGTTGCGGTGAATATAGTTGTCGAGCGCAGGACAGTATCGTCGATGTCTTGCCAGTGCCGGGCGGGCCGTACAGCAGGAGGTGAGGCAATCGACGTTCTGCCATGAATTTAGACACTGAGAGAGAGAGACAGATAATGAGATCAAAGACATGTTGAGCGTTGTCTTCAGCATAACATACAAGTGCTGACGATATTCTGATGCGAAATCAATTGATCCAAACTTCTTGGTCTGTATTTTTCGACCCTTTTTGTTGTTTCAAAACAAATCATTATTTGCGATAAAATAAGATATAAAGCGATGGGATATGCAATGGATTACCAGTGAATGTTTGGGTTTCCATCGGCGGTAACCGTAGAGGTGGACGGCTTGTCAGCGGTTCCCATGTCTTGACGTATTGAAAGACAATATCGTTGAATGTGTTTGTGTTTTGTCTGCGAAAACGCGCGACTATTTTGTGTCTGTATTTACAATGCATTACAACATGAGTGCCATTAGTGCCACACTTTGGCCATAAAATGCATACAATAAACTACTTTTCAATACTTTGTCAAAACTTTTTGAAAACTTTTTTTTTGTGTTGTTTTAATGTTAACTCAAAGCCTGAGTCTTGAGTTTAATTGATTTAATTAGTCTATTAAGCAGAGGGATAGCCTATCGATGTCTTATTAGCAACAATTTTATGCTGAATTGTGGTTAAAAATTGTATTTATATTTGATTGAAAGGGTATACATACCTAAGGTATGGGAACAATGTACTGAACCCCAAGGTCTATGACATTCAAATGTATTGATAGGTATATACAGGCATTTAGCACAGGTATGGGCACAGGTATGGGCACAGGTATGGGACCACCTCTATCTCCAAGAGCTCCCATTGATAGCTCCACTCACAGACATATATCGTGCCAACAAAAGGGACATCTTTTTTATGAAAACAGGTTCTCATTAATACATGTGTTATGTTATCGAAAGTGATAGAAATTATATCTAACTTATTATAAACAAATCATTAGAGTATACGTGTTGTATAATCAGTAATAATAGTAATAATATTTGTCCACATGTTTATAATTAGCAATTTATTTGAAAAATTACTTTAACAAGAGATATGAAAAATGATTACAATTGCAATAATAAAAGTGATGTTTATAATTGAGTTCATAAAACTTTATAGAAATTGACATTTCTTTAAAAAATATTGTTTTTTACATAAGAAAAGGGTTTTAAAAAACAATGACTTTGAGATTAAAGTCTATCGATATTCTCAATGATTGCAGAATTGAGAGTAAAAGCGACAAAAAGAGGAGAAAAATTGGTCACAAACTTAAAGAGTTATCAAAATTAATGACAAATTTGCGTTTAATAAGCATCGAGTGGAACAAGAAGTGGAACTCATTGGTGATTATCTTCAACAATGGCATCATTTCATCGGTGTATATGAACGCCAAACATAATGTGGTGAATGTATACCACGACAGATATCTCATTAACAAACTATTGTCCGAACATATAGTGAATGTGATTTTAAACGACAATTACCTCTTAATATCATACACTGAATCAAAGCTGACATTAGTTTCAATTACACAACCGATTGACGCCAAGAGGAGGACAAAGCTTAAGCTGACGGCAGTGAACACCAAAATATCGTCCTTAGATCTCGAGAGCGGAACCACTCGTCGAGCGGAACGTAATCTTGTGGTCAATGAAAGCGGAGATCTGTTGATAGTGTGGTGGAAAGCGGGCACCAATTGTGTCGCCCCGTGGTCTCCACCCGGAGCTAACTTTAAAGACTTGGCCAACATTTTTGTCTATAGTCTCACAAATTCTACATTTCGTTTAATATCAATGGCATGTATTTCGGGACATATTTTTAAAGTGAGTTATATTTTGAATAATTATTAATTATAATTTATAAACGTTGCATCAATTTGTTAACTTAATTCAATATTAACATTAATGTTGATCAAATTGATACACGCGATTATAAATTATAACATTAAATAAAAATATCGTTGTTAAAAAAAATATACTTAAATATTGTTTTGCAATACAGATATTAATGATGAGATGGGATGCGAGTCAAGTGATTCTTCTGCAACAGTCCACACATTCTGTATATCTTCTCAATTACTGTGTTTTCCAAATCGACGAATCCATTGAATGTCTGCAACAAATCTATTCAATACGCATACCATTGATGAGGGCCTGCGTTAAGGCCGAAGTGAGCGCAGCGTTGGATAAAATAATATTGCTTTTGGACGACAATTCAATCGCTTTATTCAATATACAAAACAAGACACTCTATTCAATGCATTCATCCGTCAGTGCCTTTGATGTCACCTGCAATCCATTGGATGCCATCTTCACAGTCGCCGACCAATTGTCCAGAATCTCTGTCTATGATTACGCTTTCAATACATTGGACATCAATTATGAGGATCTAATCAATGAGCGAATCGTACGCTTGAATTCAATCAAATTTATCACTAAATCCACGCTTTGCTTGTATTCTACTGAAGAAGAGATGCCAAACATTACACTTATAGTACTTCCAGTTGTGATGGACAACAAAGCGCTGGTCAACTACTATCTGAGGAGTGGTCAATGCGATGAAGCGATTGCGTGCCTCCGGTGTGTGGACTGGAACTGTTACAGCGAAAGCGCATTCTTTTGCCTTAACTACATATTTAATCACATAATTAAAGAGAGATTGAATCCGAAACGCGAGTCTCAATTGGAGACAACTTTAGCCATATTTCTCACACCAAATGTTGCCATCAGTGAAGATATTGTCAAACAATACAAACTTGAGATACATTTTTTAGCCAAACGATTCTTTTACCATTTAGTCCGATATAACTGCTTAGACAAAGCATTCCTCTTAGGTCTGGACCTGAATAGCAAATATCTGTTTAGTTTATTGCATAGAATCGCACTCCAGAGGAATAATAATAGGATAGCGACGGCCGCTCATCAACGGACACAAAGTTATGATAATATTGATTACAAAATGAAGACACTTCAGACCGCTTTCATGCTTCAGTTATGAACCATAACTTATGATTAAGTTTTTCATACAATTATATAAAGTAAAGTGTTTTTATAATTAATCGTTTAACTCATATGTTGTAAATGTGTTACAAATTAATTGCCATTTTTATAAAAACATTAAATATTAATATAATTCAAAAACCTATTCGTTAAATAATACCATTTTTTATACGATACAAATTATTTGATAAATATTTTATTAAAAGTATTGAATTCAATGAAATTAATAATGAATTTAGTCGTTAAGTGTATGGAAAACATAAATAGGAAAACAATTTGAAATTAATATTCGGTTAAATCTAATGAAATAAAAAACATTTCTAATAAGTGTTTAAATTGTGGCAAATACTGGCATTCATTTGGCGGCTTTAGGTGCGGCCCCACCAGCCGGTGGTGCGGGCGCTCCGGGTTTGCCTCCGGCTGCCGGTGCCGGTCCTCCTGCAGCGGGTGCTGGGGGTGCGCCGCCCGCTGCCGCCCCCTTCTCGCCCGCCGATTGCGAATCAGGTTTTCCCGCATTCTTATCAATCACTCGCTTCAGAAGGTAGACGAAGACAACGGTGACGATTAGCACCACGAGTACCACCACTTTGGCCAACAACACGAG